CTTTGTGCGGCTAAATCATGGTTTAATTGTGAATTACGGTGTGTGCCTTGAATTGTCGATGTGCTGGCTAATTTGTACATGATTTGTGTTTAATTATGTGATGCCATGTTGAGTGCTTGGTGTGGCCGAGAAATGAGATGCATTGTGGGGCATTGATATGTGTAATTTCAATGACTAATGGCATGATATTGTGCACTAATTGGTGGGCCGTGGCTGAATTGGTCTAATTGATTAATTGGGCTTGTTGATATGTTAAATTGAATGATTATGGTGGATTCAATTGATGCCCGAGTGTTGGATGATATAGCCATGAATTGTGCACATTGAATGTTGGCATAACATGTGAATCATGCGAGTGTGCACAAATGGCATTGAGCATATGGTCACTTAAAAATGCCCTGAAGCGTCGTTTACGTGGGGTTCAGATAATAATTGATGGATATGTGCGCGTGATCACATAAATCCTGAGGCGTCGTTTACGCGGGGTATTGAACCCGTCCTGAGGTGTTTAACGTAGGACGATGCCCGGACTGCCGAAAGATGGCCAACCTGAGGCGTCGTTTACGCGGGTTGTGTCATGAGCCTGATGCGTTTAACGTGGGCCGGAGATTGATTGGAAAGTGATGGACCTGATGCGTTTTACGCGGGTCGGACCTGATGCGTTTAACGCGGGTCGGTGATTAATTGAGAAATTGGCACGTGTGCAAGTGTGCATCAATGAGTATGAGCATATGCATGCAATGTGTGTATGGCCAATTGATAATGTGTATGTGCCATGATTGATTTTCTCGGTGTTACTATTATGTGCCTATCCTGCAGGGTCATTGATAGATTTGATTTGGGCCCGAGGGCCTAAGTCGTTTGTATACTGGACTGCATGATTGGTTGATTGCTTGTCTGAAGGTGCATGTTAGCCTAGTTTAGGTTTAAGGGGCCTACTCGCTGAGATTCGTTCTCATTGTTGTTAAAACCTAACATTTCAGACCCCTAGCCTTGAGAATGGCAGGCGTACCGTCACGTTTTGGGATCCCGAACTATATAGACCGTTCGGTGACCGAGTACTCCGGTTGGAATGGGGAGGCGTATATTAGATATTATACTATTGTCTGGGTTGATGAGAGCGGGCCACAGCTCAAGGCCCATCCCTATCTTGGTTGGTGCTACCGGGACGAGACTGGCTTCTATGGACCCCTTAAGACTTTCGATATCTCGTTCGACGGGTTAAGCCAATGGGACCCACATCCTGCCAATGGGGAGATAGTGGGCCCCGATGCCGTATCCGAGGAGGATTCTGACCCTCGGCCGGTCATCTTCGAGTCCGACATGGATTCCGACCCTAAGGAGGAGGAGCCGGTGGAGTGGGAGTCCGATCCCGAGCTGAAACTGATGGAGTTGGAGTCAGAGCTGGAGGATGATCCCGAGGAGGAGCCATTGGAGGTCGAGTCCAAGCCAGAGTTTATGGATTCTGAGTCCGAGTCGTCCGATGATTCATCCGAGTCTTCGGGATCTGACCTGGACTGGTTGCCCTAGGGTTTAGCCTTGAACATAGATAGGGTTAGGGCCGACACTTTTTGAAGGGAGCCCTTTTTAGGTATAGTACCTGACCGCCTGAGCCACATACCCCTTTTTGATGTTAGTAGCTTGCTCACCCGTTTTGGTTTATGTATATGTTTTTAATGGATATTGTAAATCCTCTTTATTAATGTAAACATGCACTTATGATGTTTGTTGCTTTCCTTGGTCATTTGATTATTATGTATGGGTGTATGATTGCTTCCGCATGTGTACTATTCTCTGATTTGGGTTTTGGGTCGATGACGAGTCCTGGGACGCCGCACAAATTCGACCGACGAAGGGGTTGTCGCGTGCCGTAGGGTTCGGGGCGTGACACCTGAGGCGTGTTACGTGGGACGAGCCTGAGGCGTGTTTACCCGGGCTAAGAAAGTGTGAATGAGCTGAGGCATGTTACGCGAGTCAAGTGAGAATGTTGAGCCTAAGGTGTGTTTACGCGGGTTAAGAAAGTCTAGAGATCCTGAGGCGTGTTTACGCAGGTTAAGAAAGTGTGAATGACCTGAGGCATGTTACGCGGGTCAAGTGAGAATGTTGAGCATGAGGCGTGTTTATGCGGGCTGAGAAAAAAAGTTGGACCTGAGGCGTGTTTGTGCGGGTTGCAACTAAGTTGGACATATGTGTTCGAAGGTTGAACGGTTATGAGGTAGAGAGTGTGAGACTGAATCATGTTCGGATTAGTGTTGATGCATGTGCATAATTTGGCCATATCATGAGATAGTGTGTGACTTGTGATGATTGTTTCTTATTGTGATCAGAATAACGTGTAGGGTTCTGCTTATGCCAAGAAGGTAAGGCATCTGTGTTTGTGAATGTGATAGCATGTTGAGTGTTGGTTGTTTGTGTGTTAAAACTTGTCTGGAGGTACGTGTTAGCCTAGGTGGGGTTTAGGGTTTCGCTTATTGAGAAGTGTCTCATGATTGTTAAACCAAACCATTTCAGACCCCTGGCCGGGACAATGAATATCCCTCCTCCACAACGTTTTGGGATCCCGATGCACACGGATCATACAGTTTTAGAGTACCCTATAGATGAGAACCTTACTTGGATTAAGCATACCAGTATAGTTTGGGTAGATGTGGGTGAACAGTTGTGGCAACCCCATGCCTATGTAGCATGGTGCTTCCGTGACGGGCTAGACAAGTTTGGGCCAGTGCGAGGTTTCGATGTCCCATTCGATGGAGTAGGTGATTGGGACCCGTCGGCTATACCTCCCCCCGAGGGCGAGTTGACCAGTACAAGCACCGGTCTTGCGGAGTCTGGGCACCAATTTGCACCTTTGGAGTCGGATCAGATAGAGGTAGCCTTCGAACTAATGGATCAGATAGAGGTAGCCTTCGAACTAATACCCGAGTAGCCTCATCAAGAGGAAGCACCGATAGAGTCGGACCCGGAGGAAGAGCCCATGGAACTGGAGTCGGAAGAAGACCCCGAAGAAGACCTGGAGGAAGATCCCGAAGAGGAGCACGAGGAGGAACCCCCGATAGAAATCTTGGCAGAATCAGAGTCTGAGGATGAACCGATTGAGATAGAGACAGATTCTGAGCCATCAGAGGAGTAGGCAGATGATGAGGAGACGGACCTTGACTCCAAAGGTTCTGACCCTAGTTGGACTCCCCTAGGTCTCGTAGGGGTTAGTTAAAGCGGAGTAGGGGTTGGAAGCATTTTTGGGAAGTTGTCTTTTGATGGTTGCTAATCCGAGTAATTGGTATGCTTATAATCAATGGATAATGTAAGTTGTGGATTATGTATATATTGATCTCCTGGTACCCCTCTCTTTAAATTTTGTTTGGCTGTTTTAAGTGCTTCCGCTGGCGCATTACCTCTAGTGTATTGTGAGGTCGGTGACGAGTCCTGGGACGTCGCGTTCGATACGACCGCCGTGGGATGTCGCGGGCTTATTGGGGTTCGGAGCGTGACATAATCTCTTTTCATCGATCATGTTGAGTTGTTCATATCTTTGTTGAATCCACTCAGCTTCTGAAAGTTTCAATTGGGATAGTATCCTTAATGAAGGAATTTCTGCTTCAACAGGTAGCACTACTTCCATTCCTTAAACCAAGGAAACCGAGGTTGCTCCAGTTGATGTTCGAATTGAAGTTCGGTATGCCATCAGAGCATACGGCAACCTTTCCTGCCAATCACGATAATTTTCAGCTGTCTTGGCCAATATCTTCTTGATATTCTTATTTGCCACTTTAACTGCTCCATTTATTTGTGGACGATATGGGGATGAGTTCAGATGTCGAATGTAGAAGTGTTCGAGTAAATCATCCACAATCTTGTTGTTTAGATTTGAGCCGTTGTCCGTAATTATTGCTTCTGGAACCCCATACCTAGCAATGATGTCCCGCCTAATGAATCTTGCAATATTCTTGGCAGTAACATTCGTGTAGGAGTTTGCTTTAATCCATTTGGTGAAATAATCAATAGCAACCAGAATAAACCGGTGCCCATTTGAGGCCTTGGGGTTGATTGGACCAATTATATCAATGCCCAACATTGAAAATGGCCATGGCTCAGACATTTGATGTAGCTCATTCGACGGTGCATTTTTCGAGCTAGGATATGTCCATTCATGTGCGGTCCACATTCACCTTCATGAATCTCTTTCATGATTTGTTCAGCTTTTGCAGCATCTATACATCTTAGTAGGGTTGAATCAAATGATTTCTTGTAGAGGGTTTGACCACTGAGGAAGAATTTGTTGGCTATCGTCCTTATAAATTTTCTATCACTTGGTTGGCTTCCTTTAGGAAATGCTCTCGATTGAAGATACATTTTGATGTCATGAAACCATGGTTCGTTGTCAAACTCTACCTGGACCATCATGCAATGAGTTGGTTGTTCAAGAATATTAATTCTCAATAGTTTTATATCAATACCATCTTCAGCTTGTAGTAAGGATAACAAAGTTGCAAGAGCATCTGCAAAATGATTCTGAGCTCTTAGGAGATAATCGAATGTTACTTCTTCGAATTTTTTTTATCATCTCTTCTAAGTATCTGTGATAAGGAATTAGTTTGGCATCTCGAGTTTGTCACGCCCCGAACCCCGTCGAGCGCGCGACATCCCAAACCCGATCGGATATCGCGATGTCCTAGGATGTCGCCGACCCAAACCAACACATCAGAGTTTGTACACGGCGGAAATGAGAATATAAACCCTGACAGTATAATCATGGGGTAATAGGGAGAGACAAATCACCAAACCACCAAGCACTATATTACACCGCCATATATACAATATTCATTTCAATCCATCACAAATAGCAATCAACCACTTCATTACACCCACTATATTCACAATAAACGTATCATACACACAAACTGGATTCTAAAGTTCACACCACTAACATCAAAAGGGACTAGTAGTCTGGGTATAAACTAACTCAAAAAAGGGATACTTAAAAAAGGGTTACCCTACCCCAACTAACCCCTACGACCTCTAAGCGGTGTCCACTCTGAGTCAGTCTCCCTAGAACCTGAATCTGACTCTCCCTGATCCTCCTGCTCCTCTGAAGACTCAGAATCCGCCTCAATCTCGATAATCTCATCATCAGAATCGTTTGGAACATCAATCGGCGGCTCGTCCTCTGGTTCTTCCTCGGGTTCTACCTCTAGCTCTCCTTCCGGTTCCTCCTCGAGTTGTCTCTCAGGTTCTTCTTCGAGCTCCTCCTCAGGCTCTTCCTCAGGCTCTTCATCTAAATCCACGTCCATCTGATCGTACCCTGCTTGTGACTCCTCCGGTTCTGGTTCAAGCTCAGCCACTGTGGATTCGGGTTCCGCAGGTACAGGCTGATGACCTGACTGTGCGAGGCTAGTGTCGAGGCTGGTCATCTGCCCATCAGGAGGAGGTATAGCCGATGGGTCCCAATCTCCCACTCCATCGAAAGGGACATCGAAACCACGAACCGGTCCGAACTCATCCAAACCCTCCCGGAAACACCAGGCTGTATAAGTGCGGGCTTGCCAAAGAGGTTGTCCTATATCTACCCAGACTACTGTGGTGTGCTTAATCCAAGCCATATTATTATCTATAGGGGTACTCTACTACTGCATGATCGGTATGCATAGGTATGCCAAAACGCTGAGGCGGAGGCGGTGGCGGTGGAGGATTCATGGTCCAGGCCGGGGTTCTGAAAAGGTTAATTTATACAACTATGAGACGAATCTCAATAAGTCGATAGCCTAAACCCTACTTAGGCTATCACGTACCTCCAGACAAGTCCAAACACAATATCACTCAATAAACACATAACATGCACACAAATGCACTTACCTGGGCTCTTAGTACACACAATCTGCACGTTAGTCTCAAATCCACAAATTTCAAACCACATGCACTTTCCAAACTAATCTCATGCCCAAAAGCAAATGTCGAACACATGGCATTTCTGAACGTTGCATTTCATACTCATTCATGCAACACCACACCATTTTCATTAAACTTGCCAACGACCCGCGTAAACACGCCTCAGGTCCGATCTCATTCTCACTTGCCACATCACACATCTCATTTTCATTCTCATTCTCTTTCCACAACCCGCGTAAACACGCCTCAGGCTCCACATTCCTATCTCGACCTGCGTAAACACGCCTAAGATCTGATCTCATTTCCACTTGCCACATCACACATTTCATTCTCAATCTCTTTTCACAGCCCTCATAAACACGCCTCAGGCTCCACATTCGTATCACGACCCGTGTAAACACGCCTCAGGGATTAAGTGATCACGTGAACATGCCAACACGCCATATTTTATCTGTATCCCGCGTAAACACGCCTCAGGGCTTTTTAGTGATCACACGCACATCACACGCCTCAATTCTCACACGTTCACATACTCGAACATTAATTAAATGCACCCAATTCAACCATCTCAATTCAGCCCATGTAACATACATATAACCATCACATAACATGCCATATTTCATCACAAAAACCATGGCACAACAAACACGGCACTACACCACGATTTCACACAATTAAGAGTTGAACCAAATTATGTACCCTATGCACCAAACCGAATTTTGCAGCACTCATACAACCATACTTAGCCCTCATTTAACCTCTAATTACCCACCAAATCACCACAAATTCGTCTATAAAAACCCTCATCCAAAACAGCCCTTAAAACTACACTAAACCGTGTCTAAACGAGCCCGTTAATACCTGATATCCTAAATAGGGATTAGGGTGTCACTTACTTGAAATTTCCCAGCAAGAACAGCTTATCAAGGGGGCGGCAAGGCAGCAAGGAAGCGGCATCCACGGCGGTCCGACGGTGGGACGCACGGCGGTCCGACGGTGGGACGCACGGCGGTCCGACGGTGGGACGCACGGTGGATGGCGAGCACGCGGCTATCCGGCACGGCTCCGGCCAACACACGGCCAAGGGAAAGAGAGAGGGTTGATTCGGCCAAGGGGGAGAGGGAGAGGGTTTGGGGGTGGAATGAGAGGGAGAGAGACAAAGAGAGAGGAAAAAGGAAAAAAATATGAGTGACACCAATAATTGGTGTCCTACCCCTAGCCGAAATTACCATCCTACCCTCCTCTCTACTTTCCATCCAACGGCCAAGATCCAAGCTTATCCAAAAATCGACGGCCAAGATCAATTCTTACAAAAAATATCCAAGGGTAAAATAGGAATTTTACAAAAAGTGCAGGGGCAAAATCGTCCAAAAATTTATATCTCTAAAGTAAGGGTGAAATAACCAAAATGCCCTTCCACTTTTATACTTAGCCTTCACAAAATCTCAAGGGCAAAACGGTCATTTTCCACTTCCTGTCAAAATTTCAGTGTTCTGAAGAATTCGGACAAATCCGAGGCTAACCACGATAATAACGACGTCGTCCAATTACTCTGTCATGACTTTCAAAATTTTCAACACCAAACTCAGTCTCTATTTAAAGGCCAAACTCAAATAAACGCGACTTGAGCTATTCTCAAACTAACGGGTGGCTTTCGGGAAAATTCGTACATTCGACCCGTGGTCGATACTAAATCGAACCACGTTTAAGTTCACTTGAGCCATGGCGACCTCGATTGTCACGTAATTGCGAGGATCAATCATTAGTTCTAAAGAACGCGATCGTTTGGAATAGGTTTGAGATCGTTCGCTAATTTCGTATTCTAGCGAGGCGGAATCACCCGCGATCCAATTATACGACATTCGCAAATCGATCCATGACCGTCCTTAGATCGGTCTATATTAGCCTAAAATATCACCTCGACAATCCTTATGGGCGAAAGTCAGTGCATGGTCAGGTTCTATGGTCGCACGAATCTAGATCCCTAATTAGCCTTTCCTTACTGGTTAGTGTCCCAAGAGTGATCAAATCTGGGTGAGATTTACTACAAGTGCGTTATTGAAATTACGCATTTCATAAATACTAAGTGGGTCGAAATTTAGAATGTCACAACTCTTCCCCCCTTATAAAAATTTCGTCCTCGAAATTTACAATCAAACCAAACTATTCAAACAACTGGAGGTAATGACGCCTCATCAATTCCTCGCTTTCCCAAGTAGCGCCTTCCGTCCTGTGATGTTCCCAAATCACCTTAACCAGTGGGATTGTCTTGTTTCCTAAGACTTGTTCCTTCCTATCCTCGATCCGCACCGGTCTTTCCACATACAATACTCTGTCATCCACTTCTATCTCCTCATAATTCAGTACATGAGCTGGATCCGATTCATACTTTCTCAACATCGACACGTGAAATACATTGTGCACATGGGATAGGTTTGGCAGCAAGGCAAGTCGATATGCTAAATCTCCAATCTTTTCCAACACCTCAAAAGGTCCCACAAACCGTGGACTTAATTTCCCTTTCTTACCAAATCAAGATAATCTTTTCATTGGCGATACCTTGAGGAATATGTGATCCCCTACTTGAAATTCCAAAGGCCTTCGCCTTCTGTCTGCATAACTCTTTTGACGGCTTTGTGCTGTTTTCAACTTTTCCCGAATGATCTTAACTACCTCAACTGACTGTTGAACTAATTCTGGCCCGATTATACTCCTTTCTCCAACTTCGTCCCAACATACGGGCGTCCTACATGCTCTGCCATACAGCGCTTCGAATGGCGCCATTCCGATACTCTGCTGGAAACTATTATTGTATGCGAATTCCACTAAGGGTAATTGTTCTTCCAACTTTCCTTGAAAATCTAATACACATACCCGAAGCATATCTTCTAGAGTCTGAATTGTCCTCTCAGACTGGTCATCCGTTTGTAGATGGTAAGCTGTACTAAACTGCAGTTTTGATCCTAATGCCGTCTGCAGACTTTTCCAAAAGTGAGCGGTAAACCTGGGATCACGATCCGAAGTAATCGTCACCGGCACTCCATGTAGACGAACTATTTGTCTTACATACAATTCAGCATACCTTTCCAAGTCAAAATCCTTTCGCACCGCTAGAAAATGTGCCGACTTGGTTAACCTATCCACTATCACCCAAATGGAATCATGGCCCTTTTGGCTCCTTGATAATCCCATTACAAAATCCATAGTCATGTGCTCCCATTTCCACTCAGGGATTTCCAATAGTCGAAACAATCCTCCGGGCTTACAATGTTGCGCTTTCACTTGTTGGCATGTTAAACACTTAGCTACGTGTTTAGCTATATCCACCTTCATGCCATTCCACCAATAGTGTTGTCTAAGGTTCCGATACATTTTCGTGCTACCAGGATGGATGTTATACTTACTATGGTGTGCTTATGATAAGATTTCCTCCTTAAGTTCAGCGTCATCGGGCACACACAACCTTCCTCGGAACTTCAAAATCCCGTCTTCGGATACTTGAAAGTCCGCTTTCCTCTTAGTAACATCCATTTCCAGAATTTTTTGAATTTCTTGATCCGTAGATTATAAAGCCTTAATCTTAATATGGATTTCTAGTTCAATCCTTAGTGTGGCTAACAAACTCGAGACTTGACTTACTTCAAGTCTAAATTCCGAGTCTCGCACCTTTTCTAACAAGGTCCATTCCTTAACTAACAATTTTGCGATGCTCGACTTCCGACTTAACGCGTCAGCTACCCGGTTGGCCTTTCCGGGGTGATACAAAATATCATAATCGTAGTCCTTAAGTAACTCCATCCAACGACGATGTCTCATGTTAAGCTCCTTTTGAGAAAACAAATATTTCAAACTTTGATGGTCCGTATATATCTGAAACTTTTCTCCGCATAAGTAATGTCACCAAATCTTAAGGGCGAATACTATTGCGGCTAATTCCAAATCGTGCGTCGGGTAGTTCAACTCATGCGGTCTCAACTGTCTTGATGCGTAGGCCACTACTCGTCCATTTTGCATGAGTATACACCCCAATCCTTTTAACGACGCATCGCTATAATTTCATATCCTCCTGGTCCTGATGGAATAGTCAATACCGGCGCCATTGTCAATCTATGCTTTAGTTCTTGAAAACTCCTTTCACATTTGTCGGTCCATTCAAATCTTATTTCCTTTTTCAACAAATGTGTCAAAGGTGTTGCTATTATCGAAAACCCTTCCACGAAACATCGGTAATATCCTGCCAAACCCAAAAAGCTTCAAACCTCTATTACCGTTATTGGTCTCGGCCACTTCATTACAGATTCAATCTTTATTGGATCTACTAAGATTCCTTCCCTAGAGATCACGTGTCCAAGGAATGCTACTCGATTGAGCCAGAACTCACACTTACTAAACTTAGCATACAGTGCGTTTTCTCTTAAAGTCTGTAAAACTTTACTCAGATGAAACTCATGCTCCTCCGGGCTCTTCGAGTACACCAATATATCGCCTATAAAAACTATAACAAATTGATCCAAGAATTCCTTAAACACTCGATTCATTAAATCCATAAAGGCAGCAAGGGCATTAGTCAACCCAAACGGCATTACTGTAAACTCATAATGCCCATATCTCGTCCTAAATGCCGTTTTCGATATATCCTCCTTCCTAATTCTCAACTGATGATATCCCGTCCTCAAATCAATCTTAGAAAATACCGAAGCCCCTCGTAACTGATCAAACAAATCATCTATCCTTGGTAGGGGATATTTATTCTTGATCGTCACTTGATTTAACTGTCGGTAATCAATGCATAACCTTAATGACCCATTCTTCTTCCTCACAAATAAGACTGGCGCTCCCTATGGAGACGCACTTGGACGATTGAAACTTTTGTCCAATAACTCTTGCATTTGTACCTTTAACTCTTTTAACTCTGACAACGACATTCTATAAGGTGCCTTCGAGATTGGTTCAGTACCAGGGGCTAACTCAATTACAAATTCTACCTCCCTTTATGGTGGCAATCCCGGCAATTCCTAAGGAAAGACATCGGGAAAGTTGCACACTACAGCTATATCCTCTAACCTTGGTTCCTCAATTGTCAAATCCACTACTGCCGCTAAAAACCCTTCGCACCCTTCATCCAACAACTTAGTCACTTCCAGTGACGAAATCCAGGGAATCGAGGTTCCTCCTCGATTTCCCACAAATTCAAATCTAGGATGTCCAACTAGATTAAATTGGATCACCCTACTACTACAATCCATTACAGCCCTCTGCCTAGTCAACCAATCCATACCAACAATCACATCGAAATCATACATAGGTAGAACAGTCAAATCTATTCTTTCTTCTACATCACCAATCACAATTTTGCAATCCGAACATCCTAGCGAAACTAGCACTTTATCATTCAACAGGGTAGAAACATATAGCACAACATAAAGCGGCCTTGGTTCTATCCCAGTCAATCTAACAAATTGTTCAAGCACAAACGAATGTGACGCCCCCGGATCAAATAAAGCATACACAGCATGATTATAGAGAGAGATCGTACTTGTGACCACACCTGGCGCTTTCTCAGCTTCCCTTCTAGCCTTGCATACACTCGTCCTTGAGCCGACGGTCTGTTCTGGTTCGTTGGTAAAGGCATTCCAACTTGATTTCCAACTCGGGGCGATTGCGATAGCACAGACGACCTAGCCTATCTATTATTGGGACAGTTCCTCACTTGGTGGCCCACTCCACCACATCTAAAGCATATGATACTCCTACTCGGACAGGGTCCACTCCCATGTCTCCCTCTACACGACTGACACACCACACCCTGATAACGGTTTGGCTTTCCAATGTTCCTCTTAACAGAAGGAATAAAATGCTGATTTCCCGACATCGGTCTCTTCCCTAAATTACGATTGTCCCTAGCCATAGCATACTCAATCCAGAAGCAGCGGCTCTATCCGCTAAGTCACGCTCAATCCCCTGGGCCCACTCATAAATCTCATTATAATCTCTTAAGTTCAATGATATCATTTGGCTACGAAGGTCCGGTTTCAACCCATCTCGGAACCTTCGGGCCTTGTCCAAAGGATCCTTTACCATCCTCGGGGCAAACTTGGATAATCTAGAGAATTCGGCCTTGTACTGATCCACAGACATTTGTCCCTGACGCAATCTCATGAATTCAACCAATTTTCATTCCCGGGTACTCTCAGAAAAATACTTACCATTAAAGACTTCCACAAACATCGCCCAAGTCTGGGCGGCACCAGCAGGGAACACCCTTCCTCTGGTGGCTTTCCACCAATCACTTGCGTTTCCTTGGAACTGGTACACCGCCAGGGTTACCTTCTCTTCTTCGGTGCACCCTAGTACCTCAAAGGCCTTCTCTAATTCCTCTACCCAAAGCGACGCAGCCTCAGGGTCGCCTTTACCATCAAACTTAAGAGGCTTTAATTTTAAGAACTGCTCCACCAGCTGATGCATCTGACGATTCGCATTCACCTGTCCTTGCCCTTGATTCCCATTGTTACCATTAATGGCAGCGGCCTCAGCAGCATGGGCAATAGTGGCAGCTCGTTCTTGAGCCTGTCATCCCATCAGATTTCCAATCTCTTCTAGAGTCCTCATGACCGCATCCATTCTCAGATCTCCCACAGGTTGGGCTTGCGAACTTGATTGGCCTCTTGACCCTCTACCTCTCGAACTCATACTCACGATTTTCTATCACCCACCTACCTGCTATAATTCCACTCAGGAATTAGAGACCTAGGCCAACTACACCAGTCTAGTCCTAGGCAGTGAATCATCTCGATAATTCACTTAACAAGCAATCAACCACCACAACACGAGATCACAATCAATAGGATTCGTGCACTTACCTCAGGTCCAGACGCACCTGCAACTCAATTGTTAGAACATCCAATTCATCCAACGATCACAACAAACAATCTGGAGGCACACATGGCACGTTTACACCTATGACTCGCTAGGGTCTCCCTAGTCATCTACCCCAAAGGTCATCGCTCCTTATCACTCCAAGCTTCAACCAACTTGGATCGAGCTGCCCTTGCTCTGATACCAATTCAACGTGGATGTCACGCCCCGAACCCCGTCGAACGCACGATACCATAAGCCCAGTCGGATATCGCGACGTCCCAGGATGTCACCGACCCAACCCAACACATTAGAGTTTGTACACGGCGGAAACGAGAACATAAACCCTGACAGTATAATCTTGGGGTAATAGGGAGAGACAAATCACCAAACCACCAAGCACTATATTACACCGCCATATATACAATATCCATTTCAATCCATCACAAATAGCAATTAGCCACTTTATTACACCCACTATATTCACAATAAACGTATCATACACACAAACTGGCTTCTAAAGTTCACACCACTAACATCAAAAGGGACTAGTAGTCTGGGTATAAACTAACTCCAAAAAGGGGCACTTCAAAAAGGGTTACCCTACCTCCAACTAACCCCTACGACCACTAGGCGGTGTTTACTCTGAGTCAGTCTCCCTAGAACCTGAATTTGACTCTCACTGATCCTCCTGCTCCTCTGAAGACTCAGAATCCGCCTCAATCTCGATAATCTCATCATCAGAATTGTTTGGAACATCAATCAGCGGCTCGTCCTCTAGTTCTTCCTCGGGTTCTACCTCTGGCTCTCCTTCCGGTTCCTCCTCAAGTTCTCTCTCAGGTTCTTCTTCGGGCTCCTCCTCAGGCTCTTTCTCAGGCTCTTCATCTAAATCTACGTCCATCGGATCGTACCCTGCTTGTGACTCCTCCGGCTCTAGTTCAGGCTCAGCCACTGTGGATTCGGGTTCCGCAGGTACAGGCTGATGACCTGACTGTGCGAGGCTAGTGTCGAGGCTGGTCATCTGCCCATCAGGAGGAGGTATAGTCGATGGGTCTCAATCTCCCACTCCATCGAAATGGACATCGAAACCACGAACAGGTCCGAACTCATATAAACCCTCCCGGAAACACCAGGCTGTATAAGTGTGGGCTTGCCAAAGAGATTGTCCTATATCTACCCAGACTACTGTGGTGTGCTTAATCCAAGCCATATTATCATTTATAGGGTACTCTACTACTGTATGATCGGTATGCATAGGTATGCCAAAACGCTAAGGCGATGGCGATGGAGGATTCATGGTCCAGGCCGGGGTTCTAAAAAGGTTAATTTATACAATTATGAAACGAATCTCAATAAGTCGACAGCCTAAACCCCACTTAGGATATCACGTACCTCCAGACAAGTCCAAACACAATATCACTCAATAAACACATAATATGCACACAAATGCACTTACCTGGGCTCTTAGTACACACAATTTGCACGTTAGTCTCAAATCCATAAATTTCAAACCACATGCACTTTCCAGTGCCCTTTGACACCACAGTAGTGACAATTCCCTTTTTCAACCTTGGGCTTTGATTGCACAGCATGTTTCATAGGCCTCTTCCATTTCTTTTTCTTCAAAACAGTCTTACTCTTTGAAGAAGAAGCCTTAGCCATAGCCACCACATTAGGCCTCGTGTTGTGCATTTCCTTCTCATAAACTACCAACATGCTATGTAACTCAGCAAGAGTTTTCTCCATTTTGTGCATGTGGAAGTTTTGGACAAAACCAGAGAAGGAATCGGGCAAAGATTGGAGGATCAAATCCACAGCTAACTCATTATCCATAACAAGATTAAGCCTAGCCAACTCTTCTATGTGCCAGATCATTTTCAAAGCATGATCATTAACCGATGATCCCTCAGCCATCCTCATACGGTACAATGCCTTAGATATCTCATATCTAGAGGTTCGACTATTCTCATCAAAATATTCTTTTAAGTGCAAGATGATCGACCTAGCATCTTCCAGAGTTTCATACTTCTTCTGCAATTCATTATTCATTGAAGCAAGCATGTATGACCTAACTTTTAAGTCATCATCACGCCATTTATCGTACGTGACACGCTCCTCTTGGGTCCCACCCTCAGGAAATGAGTCTGGCATCTTTTGATCAAGCACATACCCGATTTTCTCCGAATTGAGAACAATTCTCAAATTTCTCACCCAGTCAGTGAAATTGGGTCCAGTCAAACAATTCTTGTCAAGTATAGAAGCGAGTGGGTTTGTGGTCACCATTTTCAGAGTAATAATATATCTGTGCAGAAAATAAATTGTTAGCCGTTGTCTTTCAAAATAACCATTTCATTTTGGCCTTTAAATGAAATAGTGCCTCCCACTAAATTTTTCGAATCCCATACTCCTAAAAATGGGAAAACGGTAATCTTTGTTGGGTAAAGATTACTAGTGGGGATTGGAGTCCCACCAGGCCATAGCCCACCTCACCTAACAGTTATTGGTGTTCTATTAACTTAGTGAGTGAACTAACTTGTTCAACACATCATATGCGAGTCCCAATCATAACTTTGGCCTTTAGACCATGAATGTCTCACCTAACAGTTATTGACATCATGATCATAGTTAAGTCTAGCACATCATCTCATGCAAGTATTGAAAACACAAACGATCCCCTCACCTAACAGTTATTGGAAATCGTTTGGCTCCAACCCCACAACATCACATGCATAATGGAGTGATCCAATATTATAAATGGCAATTGACCCCTATGTATCCATAGCCGGTCAATCAACCACTATAATGTTGGACCAAACCATGACGATGGAAGGCCACGAGTCCGAAACCCGTTTCGACTTAATATAATTAATAAGGAGGTTTGGGTCGTTATTAATGGTCTCACTTTGCACATTAACCGATTTAACATGCATAACAACTGAATAAATAAATAGATATCAAATGCATAAAAATCTATCCTGCGTGGTGATCATGGAAGTATGGCTCAATGGGTCTCGAGCCAATGAGTCCCATTTAGCCATTTTAATGTTTTAATAATAGAGATCCGCTCTTCACTTCTTCTTGGATCCTTGAACTCTTCACGTACTGGGCCCATAGAGCTCTCCGGCTTAATGGCTCCTCCTCATGTAATGTTTACATCAACAATTGATAATACTAAACTATACTTAAAAAAAAAATACATTACATGGAAATAAAAAGGACGTAGCCTCCATTTAATAATTACAACCTCAAAAATACCTGGAATCATCATACATTCATCCATACATCAATCATATTGATTAGGAGTTTTTCCATGATCACCACCCTTCCTCACGAGCCATAAATTCTAAATTTAAAGCTTTGGAAGGCACAAATAAAATTCTGCACTGAATCAAATTCATGGCCGAGCAACGTAAGCCACGTCAAGAAATCAAAACCGGTGAAACAAATTTCATGTGCGTGATTCCAACTGACGGTAGCGTTGTCGCCTCTCGATTCATAGTCATGAATCATTTTGCAGAAGAAAAAAGCAAAAAGAAAATAAGGTACAGATTTTTTATTCAAAATTGATTTAGTTCCGATTTTTGCTCAGTTTGTAACAGCCTGAATTTCGATGTAATTCCGGGATCAATAAATTGACCATATTTCGCATTTCATTTTAGTAAGTCTCGCCCAGAGCTGATCACTCTCGGGATACTAACCAATGGGGTATGGCTAACTAGGAAAATGGTACGTGGACCAAGGACCCGATCGTGAATTGGGCACCGATCTCGAGAAATGACGAGAGAATATTATGAACCAGTATGGACCGATCTTAGGAAAGGTAACGGATCTGGTTTGGCCAAGGTCAATGATGTACCATCGGATCGCAGGTGATTCTGCAAGACCGAAAGTACACGTGGCCAACCAGTCTTGAACTTGAACCGAGCGATCGTGACCTCTGGAACTAATGATAATTTCTCATTCTCTCAATGATCGAGACCATTACGATATGGATAGCCCTAGGTCGATACGCGTAACTCCTAAACAGCCGCCCGTTAGTGAGAGACCCTGAAATTGAAAGTTTAGCGAGTTTTGTTCACGGAATTGAGCCCGGATTTCGAGGTCGATTTTCGAAGGCTTAAGAGACTATTTTTGGGAATCTGACGTCATATTACGCTGGCCACACACGTTTGGGGTTAGTACGAGTGAAAATTGGAATTTCGGTCCGGGGGTGAGAAATTACGGTTTTGCCCCTGTAGGCACCGAGGCCGGATTCGGAGGCCGTTTGAGGTTATTTTTCGCGGCCAATGTCATTTTGGGGTCGCCATGCACATTTAGAGTGGTTTTGGCCAAAAAGTGGAATATCGACAAAAATTGGAAAAATAATATTATTTTATTCCCGAAACTTTGCAGTCAGTTTTCGAGGACTTAAAAAGTGAATTTCGCGATTCCGACGCCATATTATGTTGGCCACGCACATATGGAACGCGTGTGTGCGAAATTTGGAATTTTGACCCGGGATCGAAAAATTACCAAAATGCCCTTGGACCCATTTTTGGTAATTCCGAATTTTGGATTTAATTAGGGGACTAACCAAGGTGAGTTAGGGCTAAACCAGTTCTGGTCAGCTTGGGTTAAGGATCAATGACCATTTTACCCCTAAATTATTGGATGATAAGGAAGGATAGCCATTGGATCAAGGGCAAAATTGTCCAATAGCCTAAGATAATGACACTTGGAACCCACTAAATCAATTGTTGACCCTTATTTGACCAGATCACTCTCTCTCCAGCAGACCATTCGGCCAAATCCCTCGAGAATTTCCTTCTTCTTTTCCATTTTCTGTTCTGCAGTTCACGTTCTGCTCAAACTAGATCGTTCACGCCGAACAAGCACAAATGGAGCCTGCCCCCGCCGAGCCAAAGACCACTCACCAGCAGCTCTTTCCGCCCAAGAACAGCCACCCTCACCCCATTTCCAAAGCACCGAACAGAAGCAAACAGCAGCAAATCGCCGTTTCCGTCGTCGCCGCGGACCACCGGCTTGCATCGGAACGCCGCCGTCGATCCTTACCGTTCGTCGGTGATCGACCGCCCGTTCCCGTCGTCCCAAGTCGCTAATAGGCGAGTATAAACCCCAAACCCTTAATTAGTCTAATTGTGTACTTAGGGGGTAATTAGGGGTTAATTAAGCTCATTTAGGACCTAATCATGTTTATTTGGGTGTAGGATGATTATGATAGGTCATTAGGGCTTAATAAGGTTATTTAAGTGTGGATTAGTGTTCAAAATTACTGCTGCAGTCTGTTCACAAAGTACCGAAATTGTGCATATTTGTCTAAGTTTTGCACTAATTGAATTCAATGATTCAAGGCTTGAAATTAGACAATTTAAGTGTTAATTAAGCTCATTTGAGGCTTTATTATATGTATTTGGTGGTTGGATGTTTGGAGTAGGTGATTAGGCCTTAATGAGATGGTTTAAAGGTGGTTTAGTGCCTAAATGTTAATTTTTCCTGGTACTGTTCATTCAGTACCGAAAATGCCTAATTTGTGCCCAAGTTGAATATTCTAAGAATAATGGACTAATGACAAGAATTTAGGCATTTTTAGGAGATGATTAGGACGTGTATAAATCCTACTGAATGACCCCGAAGTGGTGAGAACAACTATTGAGATGGATTTGCCCAGGGCGGGCCTTTAACGCATTGAACTACCTTGGAATGAACGTGCGAATGAATGTGGGATTCGTTGAACCAAAGTGGAAATATATTGAATGTGCCAAGGATGCGTTGAATTCGTTGATTTGGTGAATGATTGTGTTCGGCATGTTGGCTTAGGTATTATCGGTGTAGTCTGGACTGGATTAGGTAGTACCAGTGTGTAATTCGGACTGGATTGAGGATCGATCGTTGGAAATTAAGTCTAAGGAATTAGTGGGATTATTAGAAATAATTATTGGACTAGCACAGATTAATCGGGGATTATGTGATTGGACTGCTGGGTATGCCCGGGTTGATTGACTGGTTGATTTCTGTACCCAATTGTTGGGAAATTGAGTAATGCCATGTCGCGTGACTGCGTGGCCGACTTGTGCGGAGTGTGATTGGCCATATGATGGCTTGATTGGATTATTGAATTGCACATTGTGGAATTGAGCCGCATGGTATTAATTGGCCAGTGAACGATTGTTGCGGCATGAAATTAACTGAATGCTTGAATTGTGCTGATGCTCATGTTGCATTGTTTTGCATTTCATGGCACGCATAGTGAATGCCGGGAACGAGGCATGTGATGAATTGTGCGAGAATGCGTGCCTGCCATGAGCATGTGATCACCTAAATGCCCTAATGCGTGATACGTGGGGTGCAGATAATAATTGATTGTGTGTATATGTGATCACAATTTCGCCCTGATGCGTGTTACGCGGGGTGTGCCGTCTTGATGCGTTTTACGCGGGACGATGCCCGGTACGTCCGGAAGACGACCAACCTGATGCGTTTTACGCGGGCTCTGGTTCGTGAGGAGATCGGTGTTGCGCCTGATGCGTTTTGACGCGGGCTAGAGACACTGGGCCAGTTGATGCGTTTTAACGCGGGCCACGAAGTGTTGTGATTAAATGAAGAGACCTGATGCGTTTTACGCGGGTCGTAATAAATGATAAATTGAGCAAGTGCCAAGGTGCCAGTGTGGGCTAGCGAGCTGAGGCATGAGTATGGTGTGACGATAGCATTGCATACATAAGAATGCATGGGCCGGTTTGCAGGTGTGCGGGACTCGGTGATTGACACGCGTTATTACCATTATTAAGTATGAGCATACGTTTGACGTACGCATGAACCGAGTGCTCGCGTATGTGACTTGATTTAAATCATGATTGTCAATAACCCGGGGTCGCCGGGTAAGAGATCCGGGTCGAGGGCCTAGGTCGGAGTTTATTTATAAATTGGTTGGTTATGTTGTTTTGTGCTGTCGGTCAGGAGATTGCATGTTAGCCTAGCCTAGGTTTAGGGGGTCATACTCGTTGAGATTCGTCTCACAGTTGTGTAAACCGAAACATTTTCAGACCCCCAGCCGTAGGATGCCGAGGACACCACCACTTTTTGGGATGCTGCATTTCATCCAGTGGTCGTTGAGCGTGCACCCCTGTGGAGACGGAGCAGATCGGAGAAGTGGCTGTTTGGTTATTCCTAGGAGTTGGTGTTTTATTTGAGTTGTTAGGAGCACTGTAAAAAGAGTTTTAAAATAGTGATATAAGTATGTACATATTTTCTGCGTTGATCGTTGTTTATTGCTTGGCTATCCTTAGTCTCATGCGATTTATTGTATGGGTGTATATATTTATTTATATACGTTGCTTCCGTATGTGTTTGATCTCTGATTGGGCGTTGGGTCGGCAATGCTTCCTGGGAACGTTGCACCATAATCGACCGTCGACGGAATGTTGCGTTCCGTTAGAGTACGGGGCATGACACAGTTGATCAAATTTATCATATAAATTAATCAACTTCTATAGGCCACTTAAGAGCAAGCAATTCTCTCAACAAAGTAAATTGGCCATTGGATCGCAAAAATATATATATGAACCAAAATCAATTAAACGCACGAAAACGCCTAAGGATTGGCTCTGATACCAGTGTTGGTTTTCTACGGAACATGCATAGTTAAAATTAAATATAAACGCAGCGGAAAATTATAACCATACATATATCTCCAAAAGCGTTGTTCATGCGTTTCAATCAAAAATCGAAAGACCATAGGGGGTTAAACGGATTACCTCTCGTAGCGTGCCCAAAACGATTTCGGTTTGGATGTTCTTCAGTTCGAGCCCCACAACCGTCGGACCTCTAGTTCAGACACACCACCAATCGCACGACGAATGGAAGAAAGAACTTGCGGATAATCACCAATAAAATTGTGCTAGCAATCTTGTTGCGACAATTCTTCGCACTCTCGATATTTCAGTCACGGCGTCGGAAGAGAGAAAAAAAAATGTTTTTCTTAACTCTTACAAACACATAATTAATTGCATACGCTTTCTTCATCATATTTGCAACTGTTGCTGATCGCGCCATTAATAATGTGTGATCAGCAACAGTTGCTGATTGCATCATTAATAATGTGCAATCAGCAACAGTTGCTGATCGCATGTGTGCACGTTGCACGCGATCAGCAACGGTTGTTGATCGTGTGTGTCATGCACACGGTCAGCAACCGTTTGTTGACCGTGTGCCATGCACATGGTCAGCGCTTGCTGGCCACGTGCATGCGACAATTTTTTTTTTTAATAAATAAATATAAACATGTATATACAAATATAGAAGTGCATGATCAGCATATGTGTATTTTGTGAGCATCACATGCACACACACCCATGACAAAAATTGAATTAAATTAAATCCCATTTAATTTAATTTCAGTCCGATTCAATTCGATTGCAAACATATTTGCTATATCGTCTCTTCCGTACTACGTCATCCAAAATTGGTTATGGTGTGTGACATCCCTAGGTTCATCACTGAGCTGGTAGTAAGACTTGCACTAACACATTAGTACTCCCAAGAGAATTGATTATCCCGATCAACCTCTAGGTTCTACAAGCCATGATTGACATCTAGCAATATGTCATGGCTACCTAGACAGTGTGAATGTTTTAAGAACATAATGAACCTGTCAGCTTTGGTTACAGTGTAATTCAATCCCTCTGCCTTACTATGTCCCGATCGAACAAAGACCATGGAATATTTGTCAAGTCACCAATTCGATCATATGCACAAATCTAATTGACATGCACTTTATATGAGACATGAACAGTTCATTCTCGGTTACAACCCCGGCCGAGGATTTCAATGCAATGTCAAGATTAGATTGCATAGGACATCATTATTGTACCTTGCATATAACAAGGAGACAGATTCCATTTTGCGTACACGTGTAACTTCGTATGTGAACAAACTATGGCCATCAAGTACAGAGACGAATCAACGAAGCGGCAATATGCGCACCTGTGAACCATAGCCATCCAACATACAAGTCAACACTGTACCTCAGGTCTAAGGATTATCCATACAAGACCAGAGCACGAACGATTAGACATTGACCACGCTAAAAGTTTCCATGTTGCTAATCGTTCTATGCATGTCACGTTCAGTGAACTTGTCTGATACAAGCACCTGTGTTCTAACTCGGGTATCGCAATATCCAATGACCCGTGACTCGTCATTCCCTTAAGTATCCAATACTTATTGGTGAAGTTACGAACACACCGGTCTCAACAGGATCATTAATATCCACTCAATGATCCATCGACCGAGAACAATTTAAAGATTCAATCTAACTATGAACCTGTCACACATATTCTTAACGTCTCAAGAATAGATCCAGTCACAACTGATCTTATGGAATCATTCATATATTTAAATAATTGGACAAATGAATGAATGCGTCCTTGCCATTAAATAAATAATGTAATTGAAAGTACAACTTAAATCCCTAACATGTAACTATTACATGGTAACTTTAGGGCATACATCTAACAGATTTGCCCTTGTCTCTAAACCTAGTGATGTTCCATTTGCTTGCTGGTAGGGCGTGAAGAGGTCTTTTGTCTCTCTTACAAGAGTATCCAAGCTTGGCCACCCTTCATGTTGAACTTCTTTAATCTTCCAAAAATCATAACGACGATGAGGATGATTTTGCCCTGATCGCTCCATTTCCCGGAGAATCCGTACCACTTGTCCTCGCAGCCTTCGACGGGCCTTAGCTGTCGTTCACAACTATAACCTGTCGAGAACCCCACGTTCCCGTATGCGCTACAATTTCAAAAACCAAGATTTCATTACACAAGTTTGTTCATGTTATGTGTACATATGCCCATCAACTGTATGACTCGAATGCACCTATGAATTTACCTGTATTTCGTACGTGTGATTGACACTACACTGATATGTTAGTGTGATTTGAAGAGGTCACACTTAGGGGGCGTGCCTATTGACCAAACAAAAGGAGAGAAGTTTTACTTTTGGTTTCATTCAGCGCCCTAGGCGACATAGGTGATGTTAGTCCCGCGACATAGTTTAATCCAATAATTGAGATGTTGAAAATGCATAGTTTAATCCAATAATTGAGATGTTGAAAATGTTGACAATAACTGGACATCACCTACGAAAATCACGCAAGTTCTTTTCTTCCTAGGCATGCGGGATCAAATGTTTGATTATCACCAATAAAATTCACGTAGAGCTGGGGGAGATCATGATTGGTCATCCTAGCAAAGCTCTAAGGCGCAACCAAATGTCAACGTTGTTTCTTATTCTCGAAAGGTATTGTCCTTGACTCAAGCAAACGGTCAAGCACGTGTGTGGAAACGTGCATTCACATGCCTAGGTAGAGTGGCTTCCAATGGAAGGGTACGATGGACAACTTTTCGTGGACTTTTTGTGAGGAATTTGAGGTGGTGGTAACGAGGGATGGTGCTTTGTAACCATGAGAATACTCAACTAGTGAAAAGCAATGCCTCCCGATTCCATCCTATTGAAAAAAATATTAATTATTTGATTTCGGTTGTCCGGTTCCCTTTTATTTTATTGGGGTAAGTGTATTGAAAGTCCTTAAATTTGTCACGAAAGTACAATTGAATCATAAAACCTTCAAAAAGTGCAATTAAGTCCTAAAACTTGTCATGAGGTGCAATTGGGGCCTGAAACTTTCAAAAAGTGCAATCAAGTCCTAAAATTTCTCAAATTACTCAAATCAAGTCATTCCGTTGATTGCATTTTTGTAAAATTTTTAGGATTCTATTACACTTTTTTGACAAATTTTAGGACTTGATTGCACTTTTCGAAATTTTTAGGACTCAATTGCACTTTCGCGATAAGTTTTAGGACTTTCAGTGCACTTATCCCTATTTCATTCATACCTGAAAAATCTTGAAACTTGTAGAATTTGCAGTGACAGAATTTAAAAATCATTTCGCACCACGTACCATTTCTTTATGACCATCTATGAATATGGTTATCCGCATTTAAATTTAAAAGACGGGACGAAAAGGAGAGGAAGGGAAACAAAGATGCTTTACCTGATCACTTCCACCACGATGTTCAAGACGTTGAAATTGAGGGGATCTTCCTTCGTCTTTTTCCTCTCCGTGATGCAGACCATGACGATAAAGATGGCCAGGTAGGAGAGCTGTGAGAATTTGAGATTCTCCCACAGTTTCTTGTAACTCCTTTTCGGCTCTCTTCTTTTGCTGTTTCCCGGGAGCCTCTCACCACCTTTCGCCGGTAGAAACGACGTGTAAGGCGGAAGATACCTGAAGATCATACACGTATAAGTATACTTAGTGGATGGTGTTAAATAAAATAATATGAAACTGCGCATTCATCTAACAGCTTAAGTTTTTAGGACAGTTAACAGTGATCTCACAAAATCTCACATGATATCAGAGTAATGAGTTTAAATCTTTCGAGCCCCTATTTGCCTCCTCAATTACATATTATCAACTTAAACTTTTAGAACAGTTGGTAGTGGTATGGTGGATGGTAATTATTATCGGGCGTGGTGGTAGGTTTGGAAAGAAGCACGCCTTTACGAGGTAGATGTCGGCTTTTGTACACTCCTTTCTGTAAGTACTCATTGTATAGTGCACTCTTTAGATAAGTCAATTGAAACGCAACTACCTATTTTCTCGTAGTTCTAACTCAGGACACCGGGAATTGATATTCAATTCGCCTCTAATTGCAGCCCTTCGTCTGTGGCTAAAAGGAAGGTCTCCAATTGGCTAGTTACACAGAGTTCTAATTGAATTGCGTGAAGGAATTCACAACTCGCCCGCCAAACACCAATTGTTCTCTTGTTATGTTTGATTGATGTTTCAAAAGTAAATCACAAAACAATTTGACGAGAGTTTCGGAAACATTCATTGGATGACCCATATGTTAAAGAAAACGGCATTTCTATTAAATTAATCTATTTCAGTGAAGTCCCTATTCATCGATTCCTGAAAATCATGTGTCGGGAAAATGCGTCGATTTAGTAAAGCACATCACGGGATTGACCCGGGTGTTTTTACGTGTTGGGGCATCTTAGTATGGGAGAATTCATCATTAAAAGTTTTCGTTAGTTGTCTGGACAGGACCTCCACGATGAAAACAGAGGTCACGGTTTTTGAGAAAACTCTTTACTTGGAGCTTCTTTTCGTTGTCAATATTCAACCTCAAGAGCGTTTTCAACGTGTAATTCAATTCGAATACGAATGGAGACTAGTTGACAGATATGACTCGACCTATTACGGAATGAGCATAGAAACCTCAGACAACGCGCCAAATCCACAGAAGGGACCTCAATAATGCCGCAGAAGAATGCTCTAAATTATTCATCCTTCAATAATGCAATTAGTTTAGCAAACTTCCTAAAGAGAATATTTTGTTAATGTACGAACAAATCAAATCTATGTTGACATCATGATGATGCGGTCATTTTCAAATGCATCCAAACCATTTTGCTTATATTTCACGGCAGTGTGCCCCATGTCGACAATCAAATTGGACGATGTTTCGCATCTCTAGACGCCCATCTAATTTGTTATTATAAGATTAATTTGCAAAATTTAATATATGTACATACTCTTTTGTAAAAGGTTGTAAGTTTTAATGCTGTGGGGGTCGCTATCATAGACAGGAATTTATGTACATTCCTTTGTACTATTCCTTATCGCCAGCCAAATTTCCTATTCGTGAATGGCTAGGGGAGGGAGGGAGAGAGAGAGAGAGAGAGACTCACATCATGACGACGAATAACACCAAGATGGCAGGAGCAACTTTGGACAGATCGACAATCGTCTCGCCCGTATGTCTGCTGTTCACGCACTGAAAGATCACGCCCACGATTTTCTCATACGTGCTCAGTCCACTCAACACCTCCGAATCCCACTGCATCGAGCAAACCATGATAAACTGAACACCAATAAACCCCAACACCGTTACCACCAGTAGCGACGAGTAGACGCTCGGAAGCAAGTGCTTGTAACCAACTTCACCTGTTCTGCTCAACAAGTACTTGATTTCTGCTTTCTCGCTGAATCTCCCCATGAGCCAAAGCGTGAACCGTAAGGTCGACGGGAACAGTGTGTTCCCAAGAAGGACTTGAGGGATGAGAATTAGGAGGAGGCCGGAGTTTTTGCTGAAGATGATCATGTTTTCGTTCGTCGGGACAAACCCACAACTAGCAAAGGTCGACACGACGGTGAAGATGGAAAAGGTCACCATTTTGAGACCCTTCTTCTTTAGCACGTCTCTTGCGTTAGAAATAAGTGCCATATAGAGCGAAACTGCGGCAAGGCCGAGAACATGGACTCCTATAAGGTAACCTAACACTACAAAACACAAAAACCTAACAGAACAATATTTCAAATGGTCAAGATCTAAGGGCTCATCTTGCGGTCTGTACAATTGAGGCTCCACTTGTGAGTTCCGGCAATCTAAATTCGCTACTACACCTAACTCTATGTGGTTAACAATGTCGTTTGTTGGGTTCGAAGGGCAGAGATTGGTATTGACGGAGGCGACTTTTACTTCGGTTTTGATGAGCCATCGCAGTTTCAATTTCCTAAAGTGAAGCCCGACGAGGGAAGTGACGACCTCCCCTCCGATGAACATCAGGACGATCATCACAACAAGCTGGGAGTTGGAGAAGACTTCCATCTCCACCGTGGACATGCTCGAGACGGTTGCCGCGGAGACAGAGGTGAAGAACAGATCCAAATCCCTAGGCCTAAAGGAATTGGTCCGTGGCCTTAAGTCCTTGAGGACCCAGAAGCCAAGGAACGAGAGGAAGACGAAGTAGAAAACTTGGATGCAAAAGGAGTTGACTCGGAGGAGCAGGAAGCGGTAAATGCAAGAAAAGAGGAAGCAAAAGGACCTGCAGAGGCGGGCTAGTTGGAGCCATGAAGCACTACAAAGACGCACAACTTCTTTGCCTAAACAAGGAAAGCTCATCGCTATTAGTTATGAAAGTAATAGGAACGAAACTGTTCTTCTTGTTGCGAGAATTAAAAGGGGCGGCGGAGGTGTATATATAGGAGACAGTCAACCTGGTGTACATACACATATATTATGGATAGTCAATAAACCAAAATTTTGAAAAAACCTTCAGTATACAAATGCAGCTTTACCCAAATCTTTGTGAATTTGTTTCACGGAAAATGTGATTTGCTGGAAAATATTTTTTTCTAAAAACTAATTTTCAAGGAATTTTTCTATGTATGGTTGTATATGGCGAATAATATGAAAGTAATTTTCTTATATCTATTACAGAAAAATTATTGAATACACGTTGAAGAAAACATCTCTAGTACAACCCTATGTCTCGGGCTCGAGTGTCGGGCATTGGGGCTTTAGTGCATGAGATCAAGCCCGCGGTCTGAGACGCGAGCCTAGTCCTCGGGTTCATGGATCAGCCTCAGGGGACCCAGGCCCGGCCTCGAGTGACCTGACCTCAATTGCTGGGCATCATGGGACGTTCGCGGTGGTTCCCGGCATGAGCGCTGGGTTCCCATGTAGAGTCTAGGGTAGCATGTCCAGCCTATGTCAATTTAGGGTTCACTGATAAAGGAGATAGTCAATTTGGGGTTCACAAATGATCGGGTGTGTTAAGAAATTTTCAATTCAAGAACGAGAAGTTATTTGTCCGAATCCTATCAATTTCATGCAAATTGCTATGGATATGGGCCACGTATATAGATCAAACGCCTGGACTTAACTGATCTATAGAACCAACAATGTGTTTTTATGAGCCTCTAAAGAACCGCACATCTACTTCCATACTTCTAGATTAAGTATGGAAAAAGAAAGTCCGGTGCACGCGGAGGAAAGGTTTTCGATGCCCTCTAATCACAAGAGTGAAAAGAGGTCCACTTGGTACAGATGTCTCCTTGGACACCTCTAACATTTTCTAATTTGGCGATGGAAAGAATCCGCAAAGCGTCAAAAGAAGAGAGTTATCCGTGGCTTCCTCGTAAGGAAGGTTAGGAAGGTCGGTTCAAACTTCAAACCAGAGGAGGTTGAGGTGTAATTCAATGAGATTTTGACATCTGGAGACTAACTACCGTCAAAGAGAGGCAGATTCGGCCATTAAATAATGCGTTACCCCTTAGCCGCCCTTTCTAAATTTTCGGTTTATTTTTCTGGGTTTGTGGTCGCTCCCCTCTATAGATTCCCACGCGAATTTCCTTCGTCAACCCTCGCTTGTTTTTTAAAGTCAAATTAGTTAGTCTTATAGGGTTAATATCACAAAAAACCCTAAACCGGTACACTTATGACAGATTTTACCTCAAACAAATTTTTTGACCACCAAAAACCCCAAACTGGTACACTTGTGACAAATTTACCAACCGTTAGTTTGCGTTAAATTTTACCATGAAATTGCTAAGTTGAATGACATGTGGTAGTTGACGGGTATACCAGTTTAGGGTTTTACTCCTCTGTTTGTCACAGATTTACCAATTTATGATTTTTCGTAGTATTAATCCAATTTAACATATGATAAATTTATCACTAATGTACCAGTTTTATGTTTTTGGTAGTAAAAAAATTAGTTTGGTTTAAAATTATCACATGTGCACCAGTTTGGGATTTTTCGTGATCAAAAAATTAGTTTTGGGTAAATATGTCATAGATGTACCAGTTTGGGGTTTTTCGTGGTATTGACCTATTCTAAAATGATTATTCACATACCCTTTTGATCTAATAATAAATATTTTTTAAATAGAAAGGATGGATTGTCAAATGACCTAAATTTTGCAAAACTCTTGAGTACTCATTTGCAGCTTTACCCAAATCTTTTTAGGCATTTATTTTACAAAAAAGGGTTAATATCATTAAAAATCTCAAATTGATACACAATCAATACAACATGATAGATTTGTCTCAAATTAATTTTCTTCTAACTACAAATTGTTAATCAGTACCCCTGATTAGATTTGTAATTCTCCACGTCACACGTATGCATTTTAACGATATATGGAATGAAATACTAACAGAATAGTTTTGAGTCGAGAGTACGGGTTTGGGATTTTTATTGGAATTAACCCTAGGGAAAGTGAGATTTAGTGGAAAATATTTTTCAAAAAAACTAATGTTCAAGGAATTCTCAATGTTTGGGGGGCGGCGTTTAAGGTACGTTGTTATACTATTTCCCCTCCTGGGAGCCGACCAATTACAATCGAAATCCTGGGTTATAAAAATAAATAAATAGCAAAACAAAGAGAGCCCACATCGTGCGAGGGAACAAATTATATATGATACACAATCACGCCACCTCACCCCCTTGACTTGAAGGAATCATGATTTAAAATTGTAGAGACTTATCTGTTTATATGTAAAGCACAATTTGTGACTCAATTGGTATAATGTGTTTATAATTCAAAATGGATTTCTGGAATTTATGGGGAAAAATGTGAGATTGGAACCACTTTAAGTTTTTCTTATTATGTTATGACATTAAGATTCCTGTTTTTGTCTGGTTCGTTCATCCTCCATCCCCAGCTTTGCATCAATACTTGTTTTAAAGAGTTGGTTCCTTTCATGGAACAAAAAGAACCGACTTTTTGCTTATGGCATCTCCAGCGTACGGATAGGATGGTTATATATCAATCAAATTTTAGAAATATGCTTCAGTCTCGATCGCCAACATTATATGCTTGGGTCCTCTTAGCTTGTGGTCTCCGCACATCATGGCGGACTATTTTGCTCTTTAGGATCGGTTTGTTTAATGAAAAACCATTTTTGAGAAATTGTTTCCACAGTTTTAAGTGTTTGCATGAGGGAAAACTACTCGATCAACGGAAAGCATTTTTTCTGAATTGAAAATAGTAAGTTTAAATTGGCAAAAGTAACTTTCCTGAAGGAATCATTTTCTATGATTTTGAAGTATAGAAGCTGCCTCTAATGGATTCTCTTATCATCAAATGCCATGAAAGTAATTTTTTTCAACTTGTTTTCGGCACAAACAAACACCAGAAAATGATTTATATTCCCTGAAATTGAATTTCCTGAAAACAATTTCCAATGACAAGAAGTTTTCAGTAAAATAAACACACCCTAATTTAATACACAAAAACGTGTAGCCCTTATATTACACGAAAAATGCATATCTCTTTAGGAAAATAAAAGCAAATTTTCCTTTTCAAATAATGGAAGATTATTTTCAATTCATTTTCAGATTTCAGTCAAACACAAGAAAATATAGGATATGCTCTACCAGGAGAAGAATAATCAAGAAATATACCTTTATGAGCCCTTGGTTCAAATTTACCAACATTAGCATTAGTGTTTTCTTGAGAATATACCATTTGCATCCAAATACATGAAAGCATGAGATGGTTGATTTCAACGTCAAGGGATTTTTCTTAAGCAAAAAGAATCTCAAATGCATTGAGAATATAACATGTAGCAATTGCATCATTTGCAAAAGGAGATATTGATGCTCCTATTGTATACAAGCATTACACATGCCATGTTTTGCAATAAATGCATGTTATTTCTTATACTTATGACATGAAATAATATCAATATGAATCATCAATACTTTAGCAACTATCTAAAACTATTATCATTAAGAGTCATAATAAATCCATCTAAAGATTTGTGAGGCACGTTAGAGGATAATCATAAAATTTGATTCTCCTATCCAAGGTAGAAATTTAACAGGTACCATACCTTTGAAACTGATGTTTATCAATCCTTACTTGAGATCCTTCTTTGATAGCATCAGTATTTGGCTAGGATAAGATTTGGTCATAATCCTTCCTAGATAATCAGCAGCGCTCTTATCTATCTCCTTCTAGTATTGTCTAGGTTGGTTGCTGATATTAGTTGACTCCATTACTAGGTCGGATGTCTAGTGGTTATAAACACCAAAATGCAATGAAAATATAGATATAGACTCAAGTTGTCAGGTGACTCGATTTCTGATTCGCTCGAAGCTTTTGTTTTCCATATTTTCTTCTTCTTTTTGAGCTTCGGATACACGGTATTATTGCCTTTGGATTTCCTCTTTCCTTTCAAGAACCTTATGTGTTCTTGAACCAACAAAACCATATCCTCATCGTCTTTATGATCATCGTTGGAGAACAATCCTTCGTAATCCACGTGAAAAAAGTTAGCTTTATATGCAATAGACTTTTCACCTTTGTATTTGCTTGGCTCATTATTGGATTCGGATTCATAGGCCATGAGCGTTCCATTAAGCTCATTCAAGTCAAGGTTGAAGTCTTTGAGCTACATGATTGATGTTTTCACATGAACCCATTCTTTTGGTAATGCTCGAAAAATTTTGTTTGTATGTTCCTCATTTGTGTAGATCTTGCCATGTACAACAAGTCCACTCATGATGTTGTTGTAGCACATAAACATTTCTTTGATATCTTCATGTGGCTCCCATCTTGAAAGTCTTATAATCACCAAACCGGATATTCATGTTGGTTTCTTTGACTTTAGCGGTCTCTTCATAGCCAACTTCAAGCATCCCAAATTTCCTTTGCTTAGCTACAAGATGAAATTCTATCAAACTCGGTATTGGATAAACCACAATGCCAAAAATTTATAGCTCTAGAGTTTAGAGTGAAACATCTCATTTCTTCTACATTTACGTGGATTGCGTTTCCTCTTGTTGGATATGGATCTCTTCCAATCAAAATCCAAAAGTCATAATCCATGGATTTAATGAAAAATCTCATCCTGCATTTCAATAGCCATAGTCAGTTCCATCAGACAAGGGAGATAAAAAAAAATTGAGGTCCTTCACGAAAAGAAATTTCCATAACGTTAGCCATAAAGGATGTTTATGCTGAGAAGTAAAAACACTTCAAGTAACAAGTCATGAAACTCTTATACCAATTGTTAGAGCTAACAATATAACCTAGAGGAGGTGGATATGTTGTATGAGAATTATGAGAAACTTTTGCAGAATATAACAACTTTAACTTCAATAGCAGTAGAAGCAGATTATAGATATCAAGTGCATGTGCTACTGATGAATATATGCTAAAAATGAAGGGAGATATAGCAAGCAGGAATAGATAGATGAACATCAAGTGTCAACACTTGGAAATCAGTT